AATTTAAAATATATTTAAATAAAATTGTTGTCATTGTTTATATATTAATTATTTGATTATACACTTTTAATACTAGTTTATCAATAAAAGTAAACTCTTACGAGTTTACGATCCGAGTTTATATTATTACTATGAGTTTGCTTAAACTCGCGAGTTTGACAACATTGCTTCTCATCATCATCATTTTTGTACTATCTATACTCACCATTAAATAAATCCCTCCATTTTACACACTCGCACTATTAAATTCGTGTTTAGATTTAGCGCTCATCCAATGAAAATGATTTTTATTTTTTTATTTATGTAAACTAGAAAAAACCTCTGGCATTTTCAGGGTATATATGTCAAAATTGTACACGTAGCCTTATTCAAAAAATAATAAAAAGAATCTATAATGACAATCTATTTTGTTTTTGTATGATATATTAATATGCTTTTGCTCAAAAGATATATTAATAAACTATTTTTATTTTTGTCTCATCTTTTCAAAATTAAAATATAACTTTTTGTCAAAAAATAAAAAAAAAACCTAATTAATTACGAATAAAATGGTGAATCAAATAGGAAAAAAGTATACCCCAAAAATCCTTTCAAAATAATGAAATACTACCTCCGGTCCTTAATATAGGAACTCGTTTGACTTTTATTTTAGTTCTAAATATAAGATTCTCAATCCACATTGTCTTTCATATTTATTCATTTTTCTCAAGGCAGTCCTTGTAATAATGATAGTTCTAATTAATATACCTGATTAACAAAGATATTTAAAAAAACATACTTATTTATTATAAATAACTAGCTTAATTAGTTTTTTTAATCTATTTAAATTAATCAACTAGCTCTTATATTAAGGAGGTAGTATAGTCTGATAGTAGATTTAATTTGAACAGTTTTGATTAAAGTCAATAATAAATTACATATATGTATGAGGAATATTATTATTCTTCCTTGTTGACGAAGAATATTTCTAATTTCTAAAAGAATTACATAAACCTCCATTGAGTTTTACTAAAACTATATAGACATTTTTAATGGCAAAAAAAAGCAAACAGACCTTGTTTTGTAAGTAAATAAAATCTATGTAATTCATAAGCTTTCTCTAAGTCAATCTTCAATACCATATACCCTTTACCACCTCCTAACTTACCCATAAAGTGAGCCACCTCCTTTGCTACAATAATACTTTCCTGCTTATGATCATATGAGCTGGGATTTTCTACATAAGGTAATGGAAGAGATTAAATTGCCTACTACTTTAATTAATGTCATCTCCGCTTGCGTTAAAATTGTTTCTATTCAATTGTTGTGGAATGGAGAGAAATCTGAGAATTTGTTTCCATCTAGGGGAGTGAGACAAGGGGATCCCCTATGACCTTACGTGTTTGTGCTTGATATGGAGAAGTTAACACGTATTATTTTGGTGAAGTTGAGAAAGGGAATTGGAGACCAATACGTATGGGAAGAAGATGGACCCAATTTCTCATCTCCTCTTTGGAAATGACCTATTGTTATTCTGTGAAGCCGATAAAAAGCAATTAGAGGTGGTTATGAGATGTTTGGTGATGTTTGGAGTCATGTCAGGGCAAAAGGACAATAGCCAGAAAACCACTGTAATGTTTTCAAGAAATGTTTCTGAGGAGAGAAAGCAGGAACTTATTGAAGGTTGTGGGTTCTAGGCAATTTCTGAGATGGGGAAATACCTAAGGCCGCATAACTCATATGGGAGGAGGTCAAGGGGAAAATTCCAATTCTTAATTGATAAAGTGCAGACCCTTTGCGTGAAGATTGACATTTATACAAGCTGTAACACAACAAATACTAATCTTTAACATGCTTCATGAGGATATGCCAGTTGGAGTATGTAAAGAAATTAAGAAGATGCAATGTGACTTCATTTGGGGGGGGTCAAGAGAGAGGCAGAAATTGCACACAACTAGTTGGAAGACCATGTGTAAGCCAAAGGAGTTGGGAGGTTATGGTTTGAAGGAGCTTAAAGTAATGAATGATGCCTTTTTGCACAAGACTGGGTGGGACGTGATTGCCAATTCCCATAAAGTAAGCTCAAGCATGCTTATTAGTAGGTATGGCAGAAATGCGAACTTGATAGAAAATTGTGTGGTTAAAAATGTTGACCCTATGCTTTGGAAAAATGTAGGTCGTTTGTGGCTAGAAATAACAAAAAATGTAGGCTGGGAGATCAACAATGGGAGAAAAGTGAAGTTCTAGGGAAGTTGCTGGGTAAGGAAGGGAATGAATGTGTTGGACATGTGTGATAATATCCCTGGGAGGGTTGAACTGGAAAATAGTGTGGTGGAATACGTGATTGATGGTAGATGGGATGTGGGGAGATTGAGTGAATATTTAAGTAGGGATGCTCTCGCACTGACCACTGATTGCTTGTCGTCTTGTGATGAGAATGGCAAAGACAAAATTAAATGGATTGGCTTATAAGGCAGAGATTTAGTGTGGCTGAGATGTATGACTAGTTAGCAGGAATTAAGAGGGAAGAAGGTGATGGATTGTGGAAATTGATTTGGACATAGAGAGGGCCCCGATGTATTCAGACATTCCTATGGGTCGCTACAATTGATGGGTTGTTGACACTAGAAAGGATATTCAAAGTAGGATTCGGTTCCCCTATTTGTTGCAGGTGCTGTAAGGACTCAGAGAATGTTTACATGCTCTAAGGGATTGTGAGGAAGCAAGGAAAATTTGGCTATAGATATATTCAGGTTTTGACACTCATGTTTTCTTTGATATGAATCTTAATGACTGGATGTTAAGCAATCTAAGTAGTAAAGCTGTGGTACATGATTGTGTCAAATGGAATATTGCTTTGGGTATTACATGTTGGCTTCTCTAGTTCTGGGGAAACAAAGTTTTATTCGATGATGATTTTGAAGTAAGCAGGATTTGTATAAATACTGTTTGGAAGTATGTTGATTCAGTGAAAGGAGCCTATTAGATAGGAGATGGAGGAGTTTTGAAGGGTTGGAGATCTATAGGGTGGAAGCCTCCAAATCTTGGGTGGGTCAAGTTGAACATAGATGGTGTTGCTAAGGGTCAATCTGGTTTTGTAGGCTGTGGTGGTTTACTCAGAAACAAGAAGGGAAAATGGTTTAAGAGGTTTGTGAATAATTTGGGAAAATGTACAGCAATTGAGGTATAACTTTGGGATGCTTGGTTAGGTTTTTATTGTTGGCCGAGAAGAACTACAGGAAGGTTATAGTAGAATCTGATTCTCTTACTCTGGCTTACAGTGGTTGAATGAGCCTCCCGGGAAGATTGCAGACGTTACTGTATAGAGATTCTATGAGCTCTACTTGCCCGAGACTTGTTTCGTTGAATAATTGTTAATTTGAGCGTTTTGCCTCTTTTGATACCCAAAAAAAAAATCTTTGTAATTCAAATAAAATTGAGCCTTTTTTATTAATTTGTTATCTTTTTGTAATTTGAATTTTTTAATTAAAGTTAAGAATAAATTATTCACGTCTATATGAGGAAAATTAGTTCTGACAAAGAATACTACACTCTTATCATCCTCACTTTTCTTTCTTTTTTGCATTTCTTTCTTGAGATTGATATTGTATTGGGTGACTCAAATCGTCTCTATTTCTTTGCTTCATTGACTTTTATGCAGGCATACGAGAGCAATTTCTTCAATGTTCTCCTAACTCACTCAAATTTCAGGGAAACCTTGCAAAATGATATTCATTCGCTACTCACATCTTCCTCGAGTCATTCCTCATATAAAAACTAATGTTTTATTGCCTTCTCGCTTCTTAGATTACAAGTCATCGTCCGTAGGTGTATAAATTATCATTTTAATATATTTGATTTTCACTAAAAAAGACAGAGAAACCCCCATTGATAATTAATAGAAGAACTAAATAACCAGGATATAATATAATAATTATAATAATTACCTTAAATAATATATATATTTGACTGGCTCTTGTACCGAAAAATAAAAAAGATTTGACCTCCCCCAAGACTGAATTATCTCACATATCGACACAAAATGAGCATCCCCATGACCGTGTCTCACATCACACCAACTTCTTTCTTGAATTTCTTTTTTTCCCCCCTCAATATTGTTTCTATTTTATATTACTATCCTGATCATATGTGTACTTTGGCACTATTCGGATTAAAATTTTGACCTGTCAACAGTCACATTTGAAATTTCTTCCACTTATTAAATCGGGTATTTTAAATTTATATGCCAGCGTGGCAGATGCTCAGGAGTTATTATATTCTCAACGAACAACTTCAACCTGGATGATTCAACTTAACAACTTTGTTATCAATAGTATTACAAGTTTTGTTTAGTAAGATCGTGGGTTAAATTCTCTTTATAACAGATATTGTTAGCCATTTCAATTTTGTCAAAAATACTTAATAACTTTTAGGTGGAAAAAAAAATAATAGCACCCACGTGACTTATGTGAAATAATGACCGGGCGGTCAACGATCAAGAAGATTCCGAGAAGTAACATTAAAACCCAATAAACGACAAGACTGTCCCGTGAAAACCCTTAAACGACAATGATCACCTTTGGTAAGTGAGAGCTCGAGTTTAGTTTATTTGTAATATCAGACTGTTAATATTTATTCATCTAATTAATATATACAAAACACTTAACAACTTTATTCGGAAAAAAAAAAAAAACACGTGACTTATGGGAAATCATGATCGGGCGGTCATCATCACACGTGACAATAATGAGAAGATTTCAAAGAGGCAACAGGGAAACTCAATAAACGACAAGCCTGGCCCCAAATAAGAAACACTTAAAACGACAAGAATCAACTACAAAACTCACCTTTCGTTAACGAAGCGGTAAATACTAAAACTAAAGGTCTGTTTGTTGGGCATCTAAAACTAAAGGTCTAGTACAAAATCTCTGGTAAGAATCTTTTCCTCTTACAATATAAAAACTAATTTTTTATATTTTTCTTATCAGATTTTATCGATGATATAACCCTTTTTAAAAATCTGATAATCAAAATATAAAAAAATTTATATGTCAGTTGATTCTAACCTAACCAATTAGAAAGTAACTGAGACGATGTCGTTTCCCATGGTGCACGGAAACAGTGAGGGCGAACACCGAACCGGGTTGGCTCAACCAGGGCTAGACCGGCTGAGAGGGGAGAACTGCTGTTGTAGATTCGGAGCCAAGCCGGGTTCAACATTTTGGTGCGACCCATCCACCGAATTGCCGCTTGTGCTAGTACCCCCACCGCCACTAAGTCCGATTGCGCTGTGAAGCTCACCAGCACCCAGCAAGAACTTATCCATCATGGCCGCCATGTTCGGAATCAAAATGTCATCATGAGAGGCCAAGTCAAACTCATCTTCTGGAAAAGGGCTAGTGGCTTCATTGCTTAACATGGGTTCATCGGCGCACTCGTCTTTCGTAGCCACCGCCATTAAAGGCGTCGTCGGCGAAAGCTGTGAAGATGACGATGCCCGGTTTGCGATCGTGCTTGGTGATCCAGATTCATGAGAGGCGGGTTGACGGGTCGTCGTTGACGGTTTGTTCCTAGTACTTCCGGCGAGCGAGTTCCGATGGGTGGGTCTCGGATGCGTGTGTTCTCCGGTGTACGCGACGATGAACATATCTGGTTCAGTGTTGCTCCGTTCTACTTGCTTCCGGGCCCCACAACCTTTTGAACTGCTACATCTATAGTAGTTCCTGCGATAAATAGCACAATGCATCGTCAAAGTCAGAACAGGCACAGCCCAGAAAAATTCAGTTTTCCCAAGAAAGCGACAGAAACTGTGAGAAAACCGAGAAAATAGAGATGTTCATACCGTGGGTACGGGGAGCCTTTAATAGGCTTTTGGCCGTATTTTCTCCAGGCCCACGAATCTGCGGTGAGGTTTTCAGCTGTTACATGGCAAACCATTCTTTTCTGTTGACTCTTTCTGCAGAATTACACAAACGCAAATAAAAGAAATGCGCCATTTTTAGCCACAAACAATCACAGAGTCAAAGATCACGCGCGCGCGTGTGTGTGTAACTTTGTAAAACAGATAAAACGCTGAAATAAAGAAGATTCCATTTCCATATACCTTTTTCTCGATCTGATTGCTTGAGCAGCTTGCGTATTGGTAAAGTCATACCAGAATTATTACTGTTACCACCGCTGATCTGATTTGGTGGTTTTTGAAATTGCTGTTTCTGATGAACTAATTGTAGTTGATTTGAATTTGAGTGTTGTTTGGAGTTGCTGTACATGTTGGTCATGGAATCTTTGAAAGCCAGAAGAAGAAGAAGTGGAGGCGGGCGAGGCTTGAGGCATAAAATGAGGCCTAATATGAGAAGCATAAGAACCAGAAGCAACAAGTGATGATGATGATGATGATGCAGTATCTATATTATTATTATTGGTACAACTACTGGACCCTTCGCCTGCAAAATCAGTAAAAGAGGAATTGGGATATATGCCACAACCACTAGTAGAGATAGTGGTGGTTTTGGTGGTGGTGGGGATAAAGGGGTGGATCTGACAATTGGTGTAGTTCTTGCAACCCACTGGTTCTGTTGTGTCAAACTGGGGAAAGAGAAGATGTCATTTTCTTCCTTGATTAATGGTAAAGAAAGGTCCTTGGATGAAGAAGACGACGGTGTCGTAATGGAAGTAGTAGTGGTGCTGGCGGCGGCAGTGGCGGAGGAAGGGGAGGAGGATCTGCAACCTCGGACGACGGCGGAGAGATCCCAGCCTTCGGCCATTTAGCAGGAGGAGAACAAAAGAGAGTAATAATACTGAGAGAGATCTGTAAATTCCCACATAATCAGAGAGTGTTCGGCCAATTTGAAGCACAAAAACCCAGAAAGAAAAGAGATGCACAAAGGACGGCGCTGACTTTTTGGGTTAAGGAAAAGCCTTTAGAAAGAGAGAGAAGGAATGGAAGAAGCAAGAAGAATGGTGGTGGAGCACTGGCTGACTTGAGTAATTGTTAATTATTTATATCCAGAAAATTTGATTTGTTTTTTTAAAAATCAAATAATAAAATATGAGAAATGAAAGTGAATTTGTTTTTGGCAACAAATCATATAATATTTAGAGTTATTATTTTAATTAGATCCTACCTACCCATTTAGAGATAAACACTCTCGATAGAATTTTTTTTATTTAAGTTTCAGATTTTGTTTTTCTTAAAGGGTTTAATTGTTTAATTGGTGAAAAGGTGGGGAAATTGGGATGCCTTTTTGATTGACTTGGCAAAATGTCAAAGGGTGGGGGCCAGCCAAAGGTGGCAAGACGAGGACGATGATTCGGATGCCGTGAGAGATGCCAACTCTACAATATTGCCCACTTATAGTAGTACTCGATGTCCTATTGGTGTGCGCGTCCTCACGACACCGCCATTGCAAGTTCTTAACACGCGCCCCTCACGCGAGTGTGACTGGTTTGCTGAGGCCTAGAGATGCTCCTCTACACTACTCCCTTCCGTTTTTATTATAAGAGACATTTTGATGCTTATGGCATGTTTTCATATATAAGAGACATTTAAAATTTGTCTCTAGTTTTTTGTATTGATTACCTATTTTACCCTATTTATTTTGTCTCCTACTCATATTCTCTCTCCCTCCCCACTTCTCTTTTTTAATAATTTAATTGTTCTATCTCATACTCTCTCTCCTTATTAATAGGGGTATTGTTGGAAAAAAACATTATACTTTTACACATTAATTGTCCTCAACTAATTTTAACTGTTTTTTTTATCAACGTAATTTAGTTATTTGTCTTTTATAATAAGAAACGGAGGGAGTAATGTCTTACATTTCACGTTACAACTGGACCCTCCGGCCTCTTTTTCCATTTTTCTTTGGTTCCTCAAATTTTTTTTTTGGTATAACTCAATTTTTTTGATCATAGGTTCCTCAATTTTTATATTTCGCATTTACTGAAATAAAAATTTGTTCTTTCACAATTTTTTGGTTCCCATGCATAGAATCAAAAGATAAATGGTGGTTTGGAGACTCACTGGAATCGAGAAAAAATTATAATTCAAGACGTGATTATAGAAATATTAAAATAAATAGATTATTTATGATTAATGGGTTATAACAAATTGAAATTCACGTTTTTTAACTTTGTTGCTTACTTATCACTCCTTTCATCTCTTTTTATAACAAATAATTTTTCTCATGTTCTTAAATATATAAGAAATAAATTCTCTTTATTTAAAATTTTAAAGTAATATTTTATTTTTAACCTTATTAATATGCGTCATTATTATCTCTCTATAATAATTTTTACTTGTTATTTCTCATTAATTTTTTGTACAAAGGGTATAATTTGAAAAAGAAAAAATAATATGGCAGTCCTTATAATTTTATTAAATTTTGAATTAGATACTTGTAGTTTTTTTTCTTTTTATTCAATCCCTATTATTTGTTCTCTTAACAATGTAAGTCCTTCTGTTAATTTAACTGTTAGTTTAAATTAACACCGTCTTCTTTTCTCTCTCCCCCTCTGGGATGCACTGTCTAGCTTCTCTCTCTCTCCACTCTCCCCATTCATATCCCTTCTCCCCGCCATCATCTTCTTTATCTCCTCTCTCAGTTTCTCTATCACTTCTCTCATCGTTACTTCATATTCTTTCTCATCTTCTTCTTGTAGTCCTCTTGCAGTAATATACACACACTTTTAAGCAAACTCTTAAAGAACTTATTTTTTTTTGCTGCATTTTCGACCAGAGGGGGAATAAAAGTGAACACTAAAGTATAATGTCTTGTACTATATTGTTGAGTTTATAGAATGAAATTGGAGCCGAGTTCATCAAGATTGAATGGAAGTCACATAGCACTTTTCATATAGAAAATCTCGGTCAAAGATATTACTCCTCCGATTCTTAATATAAGACTCATTTAACTAATTTGATTAGATTAAAAAAGTTATGTAAGTTGGTTAATTATAAAAAATGTAAGACATTTTTTCTAAAATATCATAATCATCTTTCTAATACCTTCTTTTCCTTTTCTACTTGATTATGGTTGAGGAAGTATCTATAGGGGTAATTTAGAAAAAATTGATAAATATGAGAAATGTGTCATATATTTAGGATCAAAACCAACTCAACAATTGAGTCCTATATTAAGGAGCGAAGGAGAGTATATATGGATATTTTGTATGACCCTCAGTGATCCACAATGCGTCTTGGAATTAATTTGTCAATGTCAACAAAATATATAAGCGCCAGCTACATCAGACTCTGTTACTCTGTGGTGCTATGTTTTTTTCCCTTTTCCATGAAAATTCTATTCACCATATGTGTAGCAAGAATGAAGAAAGTGGGGAGGATACTATTACATCTGTGAGAAGGAAATGTTTGCAATTTAAGAGTAAAGCTTTTGCAAGAGGAGATAAAGAAGAGAATGGTGGGGGGAGAGAGATATGAAGAAAAGGTGGGAGAGGAGAGAGAGAAATTGAAAGAGCAAATAAAAGAAGACGATGGTGAGGAGGGGGAGGGGATATGAACGGGCAGAGGGGGGAGAGAGAGAAGCTCGGAGCGGAGATAGTGCATCGAAAGAGAATAGCTTCTGGAGAATAGATTTTGGGAAGAATAGATTTTGTGAAGAATAGATTTTATCAAAAAGTGATTCTAAGAAGTGAGAGTGTTTGGATAGCTGTGAAGCTGTTATTAAAAGCACTTTTTATATGTGCAAATACTAAAAAAGACATAAATAATATAATAATTATATAAAGGATAGATTGATAATATATTTTGATGAAGAAATGAAATATTAATAAAATAATTTTTACTAACATA